GGGGGGGGGGGGGAGATGCAGATTCTCAGGACCCGGGGTGTCCGTTTGGACAGTGTCCCCCCAGGGGAGGCTGGTGAACTCTGGTCCCGCGGAGAGTCTCAGGCAGGAATGGTGACAGGCGCCTGCACCAGAGGGTTCGTGGCCCCCCTGAGTCAGGCAGAGGGAAGCTCCGGAGCGCGGCCAGCTCCTCTCACCCTGGACTCCCCCACCCTGTCAGCCGGGGGACCTGAGATGGATCCCAACGGCGCCAGAGGAGGGAGGGGCCTGTGGCTTTGTTCACTCAGCCTCCCAGGCCGTGGTTCTCCATGGGGGCCTTCTGCCTTGCTTGTGGGAAGCGACCTCCTGCGAAGTGGATGTCCCTGTGGCAGTGTCACCTGCTGGAGGCAGGGACATTCCATTTACTTACGAGAGGTCCCCCCCCAGCATGCAATTCCAGAGCCAAGGCTCGTGGCCCCTCCCAGGTGCTGCAGCGGGGCCAGGCCCTGGGGGTGGCTCCAAGACACGCTTCTGGGCCGCACCATTGACCCAGGACTGAAGGGAGGTTTCGATCCGTGTCTAGTCCAGCTCACGTGCAGTGGCCTGGACCGCGAGGCGGTTGCAGGCGCTCTGGCCCGGCTCGCGATGGACGCTGCGTTCAGGGCGGGGGCTGCATCACCTCCCCCGTGCACTTGTGTTCCAGATCCCCGAGGACAAGGCCAGCACCCCGCGCACCACGACCATGACCTTCACCTGTTTTGTGTTCTTTGACCTCTTCAATGCCCTGACTTGTCGCTCTCAGGTGAGACCTGCTGCCTCTCGGCTTCCTCCCTGAGGAACTGAATCATGTTCTCCGCGAGACGGGTCCCTGCCCAGTTCCCTCCGGGGCTCTGGGGCTCGGGCATCCTTGTCGGGGGCTCTGGGCCTCGGGCAGCCCTGTCTGAGACGGGCGCGTGTGCCTTCCCCGCAGACCAAGCTGATATTCGAGATCGGCCTCCTCCGGAACCACATGTTCCTGTACTCGGTGCTCGGGTCCGTCCTAGGGCAGCTGGCCGTGATTTACGTGCCCCCCCTGCAGAAGGTCTTCCAGACGGAGAACCTGGGGGCGCTCGGTGAGTAGGAGGGGACCTGAGGACGGGATCACCAGAGACCATGGCCACCACGTACTCGTAACTGGGGAGCGGGGTCCCAAAGGACCAGACAGGTACCTGCACTGGGTAGGAGGGCCACTGCTGGGGACAGGGACAACCCAGGGCAGAAGGGGACTGGCATCTCGTCCCCTCCCTGTGCGAGGAGGCTCAGAGCACGGACGGCAGGTGCAGTGACAGTCTGGGCTCAGCTGTGACATGCTGTGTGCCCCAGCGGAGTGACCTGGACACCCACTTACCTGAAGACAGGGAGTGGCCACCAGTAGGGACAGCACTGCTGAAGGGGACGGGACTTCATGACCCGCTCTCTGCAGCGGCGCACACATTCCCTGTGCGGAGCCCCAGGGCTCCCCCATCCTCGCTAGGCTGCCCCAGACCCTCATTCTCTCTTGGGAAGCTGCAGCTGTGATGACTGAGCAGAAGTGGGAGGAGGGCTGGGTCCTGAAGGGGAGGAAGTCCCTAGAGAGAGAGACCGTGACCACAGGGACTTGGAGGGAGCAGGGCAAATACCACCCCTTCCCACCTCCACCCTTTCTTCTCACCCAAGATTTCCGTTGGCCAGCCCACCCCAGGGCAGGCAGGTGAGGCAGCCCCCAGGCAGAGCACGGGGTCTGAGGCAAGACTGGGGAAATCAGCTTTCTTCCCCAAATCTAAAAAGCAGTGTCCTCCTGGGTCTCCTGTGAATGCCCGTGGACACAGACAAAAGAAGACACTCGCCCCCCCCCCGCCCCCCCGCAAAAAATGTTCGTGGATGTTTCCATCCACTGGGAATGAAGCCAGCTCACCAGCTCTGAAGGAAACACCGTGACTGGGCACCATTTGTCCTAAATCGTTAACAACAGGGAGCAGTGATGGTTCTGAGCAATAACATACAGTGGGTCGGGTGGGGGGTCGGGGGTGTCTTTAAGAATTAACCCACAGAACAAGCCAGGGTGGGCTGGGCCAGAGGCGATGGTTAAGGGGCAGCTGCCCTGGGTGACCTGCCCACTGCCCCGCCCCTCTGCCCCTTGCCCTGAACCCCCTAGAAAGGCTACTGGCCCTTGTGGAGCTGCTCAGGGACATGGAAGGGCTTGTCCCTGGCTCCTGGCCCCCTTGCCTGTCTAATTAGAACGAGGTGTAGGGAGCAGCTCCGCAGTGAGGGGTCCTGAGAGCTGCATGGGAGGCCCGCAGCCACCTCCGTGTGGGCACTGCCCAACTCTGGGGGCAGAGCCCTGGGCAGAGCCGACCCTTTTCTCTCCTCACCTTTTCACAGACTTGTTGCTCTTAACCGGGTTGGCCTCATCCGTGTTCATCTTGTCAGAGCTCCTCAAACTCTGTGAGAAATTCTGCTCCGCGGCCAGGAAAGCCCAGGTCCACCAGGAAGACGTGTAGTGGAGCCCGACCATGTAGAAGCCCCAGATAAGCTATATTTTTATGTGACTGCGCCCCGCCCCCGGGCCCTCTTCAGAGAAGGGGTGTTTCTAGGACACGCAGCATGCGGTTGCTCACCGAGTTCTCCCGGGAGGCCAGCAGGAAGCTCGGCCCAGGCGCATCCACACGTGCCCCTCGGGCTCTGGGAAGGACTGTGAGGAAGCTGCACAGAAACACCTCGCTATTTATTAAATCACGATGATTTTTATAAACCACGTTTGCCTGTGTCTTTGTGCGAGAGCTCAATGCATGCAGCCCTGGCGTGAAAAATGCACGGGTGCCTGCAGGGGGGGGCAGGGGCTGGGGACGAGGTGGGGGGTGGGCTGGGACAGGACAGGATGGCCTTCCAGGGCCATCTCCTCCTCCAGCAGATGGGGCTTTGGGTGTTTGTTAAGCGCTAGGCCAGGAGCCTGGTTGTTACTTTGATGGACTGAATTAGTGTTTTTCCTACAAGGGGCCAGGCTGGAAGCCCGCAGCCTGTGCGCATTACCACGTATGTGTGAGCAGCAGTCTCAGCCTGAGTGGCCTACATGAAGGCCCAGCTTTTAAAATGAATGGTAAGCAGCCCTTCCCTTCAGAACCAGGAGCTGGAACATTGCCCGCCTGGCTGACAGCGAGCCTTATCACCCGCTGCCCCAAAGACGTTTAACACGTGCCTGTCCTTCCCGTTGAAAGGTGGCAGAGCAGAGCGGTCTCTGCCCATGCCTCTGTCTGCAGTGGGCAAAACCACCACAAAGAACCAGAAACGAGGCCACAGCTATTACCCCCAGGTGTTAGCCAGGGTTTTCTAGAGAAACTGAACCAATAGGATGGAGAGGGAGAGAGATTTGTTTTAAGGCAGCGGTCGCCAACCAGTGGTCCGAGGACCACTGTTGGTCTGTGATGTCCAAAAGGTTGGCGACCACTGTTTTAAGGAACTGGCTCACCTGATCATCGGGGCTGGCAAGTTCGATATCTTTAGGGCAGGCTGGCAGGCGGGAGAGACTCAGGAAAGGGTTGATATCGCAGCTCAAGTCTGAGGATCTCAGTCTTTTCTCTTAAGCCTTCACCTGATTGGATGAGGCCCACCCACATTATGAAGGGAATCTGATTCATTCACAGGCTACTGATTTAAAGGTTAATCCCATCTAAACATCTCACAGAAACACCTAGATTGGTGTTTGACCAAACAACTGGGCACCATGGCCTAGCTCAAGGTGACACGTGAAAGTAACCATCACACCAGCCACAGCAGCTGTCAGACAGACTGCCCGGGATGGTGACACCTGGGCCAGTACAGGGTAGAGGTCAGAGTGAACCCCTGCAGACCCCAGAGTCCAGATCCCTCCAAAGTAATAGTCACAGCTGGGGAGGTGGGGGGTCCCCGTGGTCCTCTGCCCAGACCCCAAGAGACACCAGAAGTCAATGATGAGAGAGACACATGTACCATCCCTGCAAAAAAAAAAAAAAGATTGAGGGGACTGGCTGCAGAAACCTTTGGGCAGAGGTGATATCTGCCCGGCAACGGCTAAGCAGTCAAGGCTGAATTCCTTCTCACATACAGCCTCCTATGGGGCTTCGCTGAGGCCAGGGCACTTCCTGCTGCCCCTCTCCCTTTGCCGGATCCTTCAGCAGAGTGACCCAAGAAATATGCTTCCCCTTTAAAAACAATAAAAAAAAACAACCCAAGTTGATTGATACTTGCAATAACAAAAATTACTCTTAACCCTTATTAATACCATACAAAAATACCCAAGGTAGATTATAAATGGAAAAGAAACCAATAAAGCTTTTGGAAGAAAACAGAGATGGGTAAAATTTTACTAAATAAAACACAATGCAAGCCATGAAGTATGATGGATAAATCAAACTACACTCAAATGGAACCATTTCATCAAGGACACAGTAGACTGGAACACCATTAAGCAACTTAGCTTGATTTACATCTATAAAGCACTCCACCCATCAAGTGCAGAGGGAATTCACCAAAATAAAAAAAGTAAAGAACAGAAATCAGTGTAGTTGAAGACAAAAACAGGAAAAAAAGTCAAAAGTGAATTCTTTGAAAATATCAATAAATGTGTTAGTCTGGCTAAAGGCTTATCAAAAAGAAGATAGAAATGACCAGTATTAGCAATGAAAGGTGGTATCCTATATAATAAAGTGGTAATATGCAAATTGATCCTCACTTCATCACGCCATCACAAGATGGCTGCACCCACAGTAGAGGCGGGGTTCCCGTAACAAGCCACAACAAGCAATCAACAGGGACCTAAGGCTGCATAGTGCCAGGGTGGGGGACCTAGGACTGCACTCCTCGCCCGGTGGGACTTGACGGGGGACCTCAGGCCACGCTCCCGGCCTGGTGGGGCTTGATGGGGGCCCTGAGACTGCGCCCCCCCCCCACCCAGCGGGGCTTAACACTTGGGTTGCGGGTGAATTTCCCGCCAAAATATAAGATGGCGCGTTAAAATGCCTATATCTTTTGAAGTATGGGTTCGATTGAAATATTTGGTAATACGCAGTTACAATCGGCCCGAGTTTACACGTTTCCCGCACTCCACCGCAAATCTATATGAACCGAGTTTAAGACGGCTCCCTCAGAGTACGCGCAATTCACGCGAGCCGACTTAACTCGTTTCCCGCAACCCAAGTTTAACGGGACCTGAGGCTGCTCCGCCTGCCTGGTGCTGGGCCGGGGGACCTGAGGCTGCACCCCCAGCCCGGCGGGGCTTGACGGAGGTGGGGCCAGCTGAGCCTGGATCTTGCCCAATGGGGGTGGGGCCAGCCAGGTCTGGATATCACACGATTTCAAGGTGCACGTGGGTGGGCAGGGGCTTGACTCTGGGTCCCACAGCGTGCCCCAGACTCTGACAGGAGGAAGATTTTCATATACATTTTACTAATTTTCTTTTATCTCTGACACTTCTATTATAGAGAAAGGACAAATAGCAATATTAAAATATTTCCTCTAATTAATTCCCTTTTATTGTGCATGAATTTCGTGCACCGGGCCACTAGTATCATTATAAACTCCTTAAGGTATTCCAACAATAAGGGTCTAAGAACAACTTTATGCACATAAATTAAACAAGTTAGAGGAAATAAACAAATTCCTTGAAAACCACAAACTACCAGAACTCACTGAAGATGAAATAGATAATCTGAGTAGTCCTAAAAGTAGTAAAGACACTGAAGTTGTATCTAAAACTCTTCCCCCAAAAAGAAATCTGGTTTCACTGGTAGCTTTTACTAAACATTTAAAGACATAACAATTCTACACAATGTCTTCCAAAAAATAAAATAGGAGGGAACACTTAGCTCAATTTATGAGGCCAGCACTCCCTGATACCAAAACCAGATAAAAACAGTTCTACAGACCAACATGTCTCATGAACACGACCTCAAGAATCCTCAATGAAATATTAGCAAATTGGATCCAGCCGTATGTAAAGAGTACAGGACCATGACCAAATAGGGTCAATCCAAGAATGGAAGGCTAGTTCACTATTCAAAAATCAACGTAATCCACCATATTCATGGTCTAAGGGAGGAAAACCACAAGGTCCTATCAACTGAAGCAGAGAAAGCATTTGATAAAATTTAAACCCCATTCATGATTAAAAACTCAGCAAAGTAGGCATAGAAGGGAACTTCCTCAACCTGATAAAGACCATCTACAAAAAAAGGAAGGAAGGAAGGAAGGAAGGAAGGGAGGAAGGGAGGGAGGGAGGGAGGGAGGGAGGGCGGGAGGGAAAGAAAACACCTATAGCTAACATCATACTTAATGCTGAAAGACTGAATGCTTCCCCCATGAGATTAGGAACAAAGATGTCCAGCCTCACCACTCCTACTCAACATAGGACTGAAATTCCTAGCTCCTGCAACATGGCAAGAAGAGGAAGTTAAAAGGCATGGAAAAGGGGAAGTTAAAAGACATGGAAAAGGGATTGGAAAGAAAAGAAAACTGATCCTATTTACAGATGACATTGCAGAAAATCCCTAGGAGTCTAAAACAAAACCCTTTTTAGTATGAATAAGTGAGTCTAGTAAAGCCATAAGATACAAAATGAACAAAAAAGTCACTTGTATTTTCTGTACACTAGCAATGAACAATCGAAAATTAAAATTTAGCCCTATCCGGTTTGGCTCAGTGGATAGAGCATCGGCCTGCGGACTGAAGGGTCCCAGGTTTGATTCCGGTTGAGGGCACATGCCAGGTTGCGGGCTCGATCCCCAGTAGGGGGCGTGCAGGAGGCAGCTGATCAATGATTCTCTCATCACTGATGTTTCTATCTTTCCCTTTCATTCTGAAATCAATAAAAATATATTTTTAAAAATTTAAAATATAACACCATTTATAATTTTAAAAAATGAAATAGGTATAAATAAAATATGTATAGAATCTGTATGATGAAAACCACAAAATAAAGAAAACCTTTTTTAAAAATGGAGAGACATACTGTGTTCATGGATAGAAAGATTCTATATAGTAAAAATGACAGTTCTCCCTAAATTGATCCATAGACTTAACACAATTCCTATTAAAATCTCAGCAGAGTCTTTTTTGAAAGACTAAAATTCTAAAATTCATATGAAAAGATTAAAAAAAACACTAAAATAGCTAAAATAATTTTTGAAAAAGAGGAAGAAAGTTGGAAGAAACATGTTTCCTGATTTTAAGATTTCCTATATAGCTACAGTAATTAAGACACTGTAATATTGGCAAAGTGATAAACACATAGATCAATGGAACATAACAGAGTCCAGAAATAGCCCCACACAAGTAAAACCAATTGATTTCTGACAAAATCCAAAAGAAATACAATGGAAAAAAGATAAGGGCAACAAATAGTATTGAAACTGGGCATTCCTTGGCTTAAAACTCATACCTTCTACAAAAATTAAATCAAAATGAGCTATAAACCAAAACAGTAAAAAACATAAGAGAAAATCTTTGGGATCTAGGGTTAAGCAAAGAGTTCTTAGACATGATACCAAAAGTACCATTCATGAAAAAAATTGATAAATTGAATTTCACCAAAATTAAAAAGTTTTACTCATGAAAGTTACTATTAAGCAAATAACACAGACTAGAAGAAAAATATGTTCAAATCACATATCTAACAACAGACGAGATCCAGAGTATTTTTAAAAACTCAAAATTTTAACACTTAAAAATTTTTGGAAAATTTACAAAAGTCTTAACTGAGTCTTCACCAAAGAGGACATACAG